GTTCTTTACATTTTCATCATAGTAGATACAAATTTGATTTTATTCTTCAATTTCTCAGTGTCTATTTTATAATATATATATATAAATAATTTACTTTTTTATGCTCCTTATGAACTACCTGTTGTTGATTATTTTTATAAACCACCCTATTTGGTCAATTATTTAAATTACTATATATCTGATTCACTAATTTATTCATCATCATCTCCCTAAATATCTGTCTATAATATATTATATAACATTTCAGTTACTAAAATTATATTATAATATGATATTACTTTTTTCAGCTACAAATGGAATTGACCATGTAAAAATATCCATAAAGTTTGGTAATAAATATGGATGAGGTGTATATTAATATTACTGAATATTCAAAGTATTATTTTCAAATTTAATGACTGCTCCTCTGTTATTATAGACATCACAATAATTTGGAGCACTAAAAATAGTAATTACAACTGGAAAGTCTTAACCACCATTCCATCTATGCATTTTATATCCATCTAATTAAGCCTTATATTATTAATTTATTTTACTTCATGAGCTCTGATAATAGAAATTAAATTATTCCTTTATAAAAACTTATTTGCTGAATCTCCACCAAAAAACCAACTGCATCCTCTTACTTCATTTGATTTCCATGCAGTATCTAAATAACCCTATTCTTAATCAACTGGATCACTCCATAATAAATCACAAAATAATCCTTATCTAGGAGGTTCATGATATCTTTCTATCTTTTTAATATCTTCTATTGATTTTAAATCAGGAGATATTCCACCATGAATTGCAATAAATTTAGAGTTTATTATGCATGCCAATGGAAATAAGTCAAATGAATCCATCAACATCTCATAAGTTTCTTAATCATATTTATATAAACATTCTTCTTTAAAATTGAAGAATGCTGTCAATTATCTACATTCGTGATTTCCTCTTAAAAAATATACTGAATTTTGGAAATTCAATTTTATTGCATACATCAATATTATTACTTCTATTGAGTATGAACCTCTATCTACAAAATCTCCCAAAAAGAGATATCTATTATTTTTAATATTTTTCAAATTTACTTTGTATTTTCAGGATTTCCTCCTACTTTAGGCTCTAACAATTTCAATAAGTCATAATATTAACTAATATTGAATTTCAATTTATTACCCATGAATATCACCTACAACAGTTAGTGGATCTTACAAATATAGTACATTCCCTTCGTTCTCTAATTATAATATATTTTTTATACTCAATAATTTATTACAATCAGCAACTAATTTAAATAGATCTTCTTTTGCAATTCTACCTTCTTTTTGTAAATGATCACGTAACAATTTCCAATCAGGTTTGTCTATTGTTAATGCTTTGATTACTTTTCAATTTATCTGGAAACATTAGATTCCGTGACAATGGACGATGAGGTGGAGGCTTCAAAGTTTTCACATATCGATCATTGGCAGGATCTTTCAGAAGGTCCATATATTAATTAATTTATAAACAAAGAAAAATTAATATAAATCAATAAATTATAAATTATATAATCATTTCTTACATCTAATAATTCTATGTCTAACCTTAAGAGAATCTATTAATTTTAATAGATCTTTATTATTCATTTTATATTGATTATTCATAATTTACTCTAAATGTAATGTTGTATACTTTTATAAATTAGATGTAACTTATGAATAATTATGTTGAGAAAAAGATGCTTAAGTAATTGATTTTACATTATTTTATTGTATTTTCTTCTAATTTAAATAACTCAAAGGTTTTAAATGAACTTCTGATTTTGGAATAACGTCTTTTAACATTTTATTCATATATTATGAAACTTAACTTTTTCTAGGTTCTCTGGCACTATTCACTATATGATGAAGAAAGGTTTCTTCATCAGGAGTTGTTTTTATTCTTATTTTTTATTACAATTATTACCTTTATGATTATCTTGAATGAGGAATACTTATCATAGGTTATGGTTATAAATGAGTAGATGCAGTAATTTATGATTTTTTTAATGTTGTTAAATTTCTAACTGCTCTAAGTATATGCATTCTTTTTCTGAATTTCTTAATAGCCTCCACTTTATATGATAAAATAAAAATAATAGCATTTATTGCTGCTTTAAATCTTTTTAAAATCCTTTTTCTTTTCTACCATCTTTAAATTAATTAATTTATTACCTTGTTTCACAGAATGGATATTGTTTTTTTATTGTTTCACTAAATTAACTACATTTTCCACATTCTGTACAATCACAACTTAAATCAGTTTTTATATATTCTTTTTCTAACATTGCCTAATTTAAATAGAATTGAGTTTGTTTTTTTTGTTGTGAAAATTTGGAAGAATTATCTTTTAATGTTCTAACATGTTTCAATTCATAAAAGTCTTTTTAAGATAGAGAGCTTTCAGACATTTATAAATAAATAAATATCCTTAAATAAAGAATTAAGACTTAAATTGAATTAATTCAATCAGATTAGATATTGTTCACTATAATAAAGATTTAATATCTTAAATTTAAATTAATTGAAGTAAGTTTTTAATGATAGTGTGAATTATTATCAAAATTTTATAATAAGTTCTAATTTAAATACCTTTACTTTTTGGTTTTTTTTATTTAAATCATCAGTAAAATATAAATCTTTCTCCGACTTATAATAAGAAAAATATTCAGCATTCAAAAAATTGTATTTTAGTAAATAAAAATAAACTTCAAAATAGAGTATAATTATTATGATAAATAATAAATTTACTTAATGATTATTAAATAAAAACAATAGACAATCTAAAAATCAATTCTTAAAGTAATCTATGCATTATTTTCATTTTTATGATGTATCTTTTTTAGAAACTTTTCATTCTTATCCCATAAAAATTCAAACTAAATTATGAATTAATCAATTTAATTTTTGCTAAAAGGTTTCACATTAATAGCTTTAATTTACACAAATCCTTAAGTTAAAATGAAAAGAATTAAAAAATTATTAAATTTTTGAATTTAGATATATTTTGATTCTCTATATTAAAAGTCTACTATCAATAAATTTAATGGCCTATTTATTATTGTTATATTCTTGATATGTATTCTAAATTTTTTTTAATTTGATTTCTATTAAATTTTAATCTATACATTTCTTATATCAAGTGAAATGTTATAATGATATCAATTGAGTGACCAATTGTAAGAGTTACTAAAAAATAATAAATATTTAAAAAGACTTTGATTATGTGAATATTTATCATTAATCAAAAAATATTTAATTAATTTATAAATTATTAATACATATTGGTTTTGGCAAATTCATCTTTTATGAATAAATTATTATAGAGTTAAACATAAATTATTAATAGTTCATTAAAGATAATCCAATTCTTCATCTTCTAAATTTCTACCAATTATTTTACTATGATATAACAATTAAATTACTCGAAAATTTCAGATTCTAAGTATTATTATTATTATTATTACTAATTGGCATTGTTGTTACCAAGAGTAAATTATAAAACACTTCGTCCTACTTGCATTTCTATACCATTTAATTCTGGTATTAAAGGAATTACACTTTATTGAATGAGAATTAATGTTCCAAATTTAGATTTATTATCTGTTAAATATATTTATCCTTCTATCAATTTTAATATTCCATGATTTCTACTAACTGATATATCATTTACTCGAATCTCAGTTTCATTTGCTCTTCCTATTTTTAATTCATTGGTTTTGACATTTTTGACTTCACTATTATTATTATCAAAAGTTATAATATAAACTCCATTACATTAATTCCATTAAGTATCTTCACTCATGTTATTTTCTTACATTTCCTATATGATTATCATTTATATAAATACTTCATATCTTTTTTGAGTAATTTCCATCAAAATATATGGATATTCTGTAGGTTTACTCAATTCTATTAAATCAAATACACCTTCATCACTTTTAAATATGGGTGGATAATTAAATTTACATAATTCACATTCTAAATTCTTCCACATATATATGATACAATGATCACTTTATTTGGTTTAAAATTTAGACTTTAACCATTTTTTTAAACAGTTAAGATGAATATATTTAATAGAACCAGTACATTTACAAGGATTTACAAGTGGATTTGATCTACTAAATGCACTACTACAACATACTCTGCATGTAATTGCATCAGATTAACTAGATTTTGCAGAATCTGAATCTTATCTATTAAATATAATATAATAAATAATACATTAGTTATCTCTAATTTAACTGAATTTCTCTTATTTTGAATTTTACTCTTCCCATTTTAATTACATCTCCTTCTTTTAATTTAATTCCATTGTTACTCATCATTTATTGGATTGATCTTACCACTAACCATAATTTACTTCCTTTTTCCATTAATTTAGTATTAGTTCTCTAGCTCATACTGATTTTTTAATGATGACTATATTTCTTAATTATATCATTAGGCTAATGAAATTCATCCCCTTCTAATTAATCTAGATTTTCAGATTATTAAAAATCTTTATTATCACCATGATATTTTGTAGTTTATTCTTACTTATCGTCTTCATAATTTTATTTACATTCTCCTCTTTTATTTATTATACTGAAAATTCCATCATTTTTATCAATTCTAAATAGAATCTATTCTTATTTAATTACACTCTTATTCCAATCTACATCATCATCAATCCATTATAATTCATTATTATTTTTAATTAAATATCCTCCCTTACTTATCTTTTATAATTAATCCAATTACTTAAAAGTTCTATTCTTTTAAATGATTCTAGTTTTCATAATCAAAAAGTGAAAATGATTCTTTTTGCCAAGTTTTTATCTTTATAAACAAATCTTTAACTGCTCCCTCTTAATTATTAACCCTATAATCATCATTTGTTGCTATTTCTTGTAAGTGTATATTGGAATTAACTTATTCAGATTCACAGAATTTACGACACTGGCAACTTCCCATTATAAATAATATATAAATTAATATAAAATATGATATTCATACTATTAGAGCAAACCAACTTAAAAATAAATAAAATAGAATCACTGGATAAAGTGCTAATATTCTTTTCTATTCTGGAATTAATAATTTCATAAATCCAACTGCAGCTATAAAATATATTAAAATAATAATACAATAGGTTGACCATAGAAAACAACCAATAACCAAAAACATTTTCAAATAAAAGAAGGAAAAGAAAAGAGTAAATAATGCTCCTAAATTTATTGGAAATACACAATATCCCAACACACAAACTGATTGAAAAAATGATCTTAATTTTATTTCTATATTTACACTTTCCCACCTAATAATTAAGCATTTAAAGTAACTACAAAGGATCCAACCCAAATAAGTACAAATATTGTTGCAAATATACCTGGACCATCATCATTATTACCACTCAAACTTAAAGTTCTAAAAGTCAAACTAAAATATACAATGCTAACATCAAACAAAATACTAATGGTCCCCATAAATCCCCTAAAATATCAAAAATAATTCAATTACAATTTCTGAGTTCTTTAGCATTATCAGTTGACATAGTTGGTACTAAAACGCATCTCAATTTTACTCCTATTTATCTTAAATCTCGAAGCTTAGTTTTATATTTATATATACTAATGTGACTGCTACACTTTCTTCTAGTGTACTTGAAACCTAAAGGTCTGTTTGTTTAATTGGGATTTCTTATTACTATGCTTATACTTAATTCACTTATGGTTAAAGATTTATAATTCCTTATATTGAATTATTGGCTTAATTTTCTTAAACTTCAAATTCCATTTTATTTTATATAGATATAAATTAAATATAATCAATATCATCCACAACATTACTTCTTTTTACTGATAAGATTCTAATTTTAAATGATTTATCTATATTTTTATTAGATTAGAATTAGTTAATTTCAAGTATTAATAAAGTAAAATTGTTTTCCTTTAAATCTAACTGTTTATCTGTCGTAATTTATTAATAATTAGTTGAATTTAACTCATAAACAATAAAATCTGTTTAGTTTTCCTTTTCTACATCATCCTATAATTTCTTAAAACTATGATCACTTAATTTTTTTCTAAATAAAAATTATAATTTACAATCTATTATTATTTTAATTTTTAATTTCTGTTTCAGTTTTATTCATCACAACTGTAAGTTTTATTTAACTCCAGCAATAAGATGGAATGTATCAAAGTAATCATTTCGAATTAATCGAAATTTAAAAAATATCTTCTTTAATTTTTATTCTAAAAGAAAACAACTATCATAACTATTTTAATAATTTTTTTTTTTCTTGTTCGTTTTCTTAGCACATTAATTTTTAAATTATATTCCATTTATTTTGAATATGAGTTTTATAAAGCTCTCATTTCAAAAACATAATCCTTGAAAAATTCAAATGAAAAGATTAATTATAGTATTATAATGTATTTAATTATTAATTTGATTTATATTAAATATTCAAATAAATATCAAAATATTTTTAAGATTTGATACTAAGGATAATTTTACCTTTAAAGAGATATGAATATTATTGAAGGTAAAATAAAAAATAAATTTAATCACTATCATATTATTCTTAAATAATTTGTTTATACTAGTTTAACTTTCACTTTCTTTAAATTATAAAGGAAAAACTATAAAATTTCATTTTATTGAAAATTATTAATATAATAAATAAATGAATAACATTTTAAAACATAAGTTATTCACATCACCTGATTACAGTTATTAAAAATAGAAAGAGGAAGATGAAATAGCTAACCCAATGGTTGACTCATTTTTTTCATAAAAATCTTAAATTACCTTGAAATCAAATTCTAGTCCATAAAAAAATATTAAACTAATTCTCAAAAGTGATAAGAAACTCTAATTTATAAAACCATAAAATTATTAATTAAAAAGAGAAGGTTTAGATATCAAATAAAAAAAACAAAAGAAATATTAGCAGTTAGACTACTTGATTCCTTCAATTAAATTAGTTTAAGTAAAAGAGAAACAAATTGAATACTGTAATGGTGAAGAGGTGACAATAGATTAAAAGATTTACTTTAATAATAATAATCAAATTAGGAATATTTATTAGATGACATAAATTGGTTATAAGTTGGAAATTGAAGAAGAAGAAGATTAATAAAAAATTTTAATGGAAAACAGCATTCCTATTTCTGAGAAAATGATAAAATCACTTAGAGCTAAGAAATAGTTCTAAAAAGTAAAGAATAAAATATCTAATATAAAATAAGTATTTGAGATTTCTAAGGACCTTCCAGATGAAATAAAACGATAGAAAAAAGATAGAGAAAACTCTAATCACATTAATTAATTGTTAAATGATCCAAATGTTAATGTTAAAAGTGAACATCAATTAGGAGAGTTAATTGGTAAAACCAAAGTAGTAACAACTTATAAAAATTTAGAAAATAATTAAACCTTTCAATAACCAAAGGATATTGTTATGAAAAAAGAGAAAGTAAATATGTTTCTTACAAAAACTTTAATAATACATACATTTTGTACTCTTGGAGTTCTGCTATTAATTTTTATATTAGCATATGCAAAAACAATAAATGGATATCAATTCTAAGATTAAGATTAAGATTTATGAACATTTATTTATTTTCTTTGTTGTTTAATTATATATATATATAAGAAGAGAATCATAAATATTTTTATTAAAAGTATTATCAATAAAAATTCTTCAATAATGAATACATTAANTATTAAATATTCAAATAAATATCAAAATATTTTTAAGATTTGATACTAAGGATAATTTTACCTTTAAAGAGATATGAATATTATTGAAGGTAAAATAAAAAATAAATTTAATCACTATCATATTATTCTTAAATAATTTGTTTATACTAGTTTAACTTTCACTTTCTTTAAATTATAAAGGAAAAACTATAAAATTTCATTTTATTGAAAATTATTAATATAATAAATAAATGAATAACATTTTAAAACATAAGTTATTCACATCACCTGATTACAGTTATTAAAAATAGAAAGAGGAAGATGAAATAGCTAACCCAATGGTTGACTCATTTTTTTCATAAAAATCTTAAATTACCTTGAAATCAAATTCTAGTCCATAAAAAAATATTAAACTAATTCTCAAAAGTGATAAGAAACTCTAATTTATAAAACCATAAAATTATTAATTAAAAAGAGAAGGTTTAGATATCAAATAAAAAAAACAAAAGAAATATTAGCAGTTAGACTACTTGATTCCTTCAATTAAATTAGTTTAAGTAAAAGAGAAACAAATTGAATACTGTAATGGTGAAGAGGTGACAATAGATTAAAAGATTTACTTTAATAATAATAATCAAATTAGGAATATTTATTAGATGACATAAATTGGTTATAAGTTGGAAATTGAAGAAGAAGAAGATTAATAAAAAATTTTAATGGAAAACAGCATTCCTATTTCTGAGAAAATGATAAAATCACTTAGAGCTAAGAAATAGTTCTAAAAAGTAAAGAATAAAATATCTAATATAAAATAAGTATTTGAGATTTCTAAGGACCTTCCAGATGAAATAAAACGATAGAAAAAAGATAGAGAAAACTCTAATCACATTAATTAATTGTTAAATGATCCAAATGTTAATGTTAAAAGTGAACATCAATTAGGAGAGTTAATTGGTAAAACCAAAGTAGTAACAACTTATAAAAATTTAGAAAATAATTAAACCTTTCAATAACCAAAGGATATTGTTATGAAAAAAGAGAAAGTAAATATGTTTCTTACAAAAACTTTAATAATACATACATTTTGTACTCTTGGAGTTCTGCTATTAATTTTTATATTAGCATATGCAAAAACAATAAATGGATATCAATTCTAAGATTAAGATTAAGATTTATGAACATTTATTTATTTTCTTTGTTGTTTAATTATATATATATATAAGAAGAGAATCATAAATATTTTTATTAAAAGTATTATCAATAAAAATTCTTCAATAATGAATACATTAAATAACATGACTAATCCATATAATATGCCAGCTATGCCATATGGAGGTATTTTAGATCCAGATGGTTGCAGAATGCTTGCAAGAAAAATCTTTTCGACTTATGATAGTATAAAAAAGGAAAATTATATATAAAAGTCTCCAAAAAAGGATATATAGATGTTGTTGATATTGGATCCATGTTTACAGATGCATATAGAGCATAAAATATTACAATTAAACCTAAAGTTAATGAGACAAATGGTTTTTTGAAAGCAATTAATAGTATATATATAAGATTAATAGTTAGAGAATGCTTAGAATAGAATAACATTATAAGATGTAGAATAATATTGTTTAAAAAAATTTTGTGGAACTTCTTATTAGTATAAATAACAATAATCAGCTAACAAGTTGATATTTAATTAACAATAGATAACCTAATTATATTGAAGAAAGACTCGAAGTTGCAAGAAGTCTTTTCAAAAGGCTAGATGCAGATGGCTCTGGTTATATAACTGAAGATGAAGTTTATGAAATTATTCGTGAAACTTACAGATAAATGGGTAATTTGTAATATTTTAAAAATAGGAATGAAATATGAGCCTACTGTTGATGATGTCAGAAGTTGGATTCATATGACAGATTCAGATGGTGATGGTAAAGTTACTTTAGAAGATTATGAAAATTTGGTTTTGAAATCATTGCAACAATAAGCAATTTCATATAATTTAAGTTGATTTATTATTTTTATTAATAATATGGATAATTAAGAATAGGTTTTAATAGTTAACGCTACTTAATTATAATCTGTTCAATCCTAATTCAAATCTATTAAAGAAAAACTTGCTTAGCTCATTCCAAAAGTAACAAATCATTATAAACTAGAAAAAATATAAACAAATCTATTAATTATTGTCAAAATTCTTTGATCGTTATGATCATTCTAATTAAATTCATTTGAATGACAAAATTTACTTTTAAAATATTCTGCTCAAAGCTTTAAATAAGATATTTTAAAAATGTATATTAAAGGATATGTCACGTAAAAATATTATCGACATTAAAATATGGAAATAGAAAATAGTTAAATATTTAGAAATCTATCCTATTCTTATATCTAAATTAACTTCAAATTTTGATATGGTCTAAATTGAAACTAAACATAGTTTAAGAGACTAAATTAGAAACTCTATGTTAAAGGATAAATTATAATAGCAAATTCATATCACTAATAATAATACAAAACTTAAATTGAATTAAATAGTGACTAATTTTTGTTTAGAATAAGAATATGATAGCTATTTATAAAATATTATGGTTTCTTTTAGACTTTTAAGTTATTAGGATTTTAAACCATAAGAAAAAGGCAAATATGCAAAATTGTCTTTTGATATCAGTAAAATTTTACTTTAAGGAAAAGGAAAAAGAGCTTCAAAATTATCTCAATACATTTTATGTGCTACTAATTTATTAATTAAAAGTTTTGAAAATAATAATGATATGATTCATGAAATTATAGAAGAAGTTAATTGCTCAATAACTATTAATTATTTAATATATTTAGTATAATAATAAGATGCAAATAATGATTTTAAAAGAAAACTTAAATGTAAATGGAAATTTATGAAATTATTAAAGCCATTAACTTGGTTTTGGATGTAATCTATTTATTATTATTAATCAATTTTTAAATTTGAAAAATGTTAGGCTATAATGACATTATTAAAATGGTTAAGCTTTTATTATCTTCTTCAAAATGATGAATTAGCTAATTATATTTAAAATGTATCCTCATTAACATATTCTAAATACAAAGAATTTATTATATTTAATTAAGTAATAGAATCTGTTTGTTTAGATGATGATGTTGGAATGCCAAGATTAAAAAGATTAATGAGAGAAATATAAGAATAAAATGAAGAAAAATAGTAATATAAATAATCAGTTAATTATTATTATAATGTTAATGATAAGAATACTTCTTTTTAACCAGAATTTTATTACTGTACTACTTAAATCAAAGTTTAAAATTAATAAAAAAAAAATACAGATACACCATTTATTGATATTCCTATTGAAAATTTGAGTTCAATGGACACTCGTTAATCCAGTAAAACTTTAAAATGTCCAAAAAGATTGAATACATCATTTAATTAAAATGTGTAAAAATCATTTCGTGGTTCAATATCATAATTCTCAACAAGTTTTTCTGAGAAAAAGAATTAGTCTTTATGTGGTAATAATTAATAAGGTCAATAAACTTAGTAAAATACAGTTCCTATGCTTGATAAAATGATTAAAAAATTAATTGAAGAAAAAATTGTTCTTGATAATATAGAGTAATTTATTATTATATTATAAACATTAGAGATAAGAAATTTCAGTCACAATAATTATTAAGCAAAGAGAAACTGTAATAAAAAGAAAATGATTTCTATAAAAAGTTATTAAAATACAAGACATAATTTTCAAAATTTGTATCACCTGTCAAAATGAAATCAAATTAAGAAGTGATTACAAAATAAGATCTATAAATGAGAATAATTGATAGATAAACATTAGTTGATTCAAAGAATTCTTAGACTCTTACATTTTAAACAAAATAAAATGATTAGGATACATCCTTATTATCCTTTGAAAAACCAGGAGTTTAATTAGGTCCACTTTAAAAATTGAAGAAAATCATATTTAAACATCCTGAAGTATTTTCTCTTCAAAAATTAAGGAATAAACTTAAATCATCAAAAAAATGGTACAATAAAGCAAATTAAACTCGAATATCAAATACAAGTATATATTTATATAATATATATATATAGGAAGATCAGTAATGTCATAAAAATCAAAGGATTAACAAACTACAGATCTTACTTAATTAAGAGATAGATCTTAAACATAATTAAGGAAAAAGTTGAGTGAGACTTAATTTCAATTAGAAGCATTAGATAAGGAAATGAGGAGTTATAGTGTTAAAATAAAGTATTCTAGATAAAATATGGATTAACCTTTGTAATTAGACAATAAATATCAAATTTTAAGTAGATCTACAATCAAATAAGAGATGAGTAAAAAATAAATTTGATATATTTTATTGATATTTTTCCTATTTTTTTGGAATTTGAATTTGAATATAATAATTAGCGGAAAAATATTATTTGAAAAGATGGAAGAAGATCAAAGTACATATATATTTAATGTTCATTAGACTTAGTCTCATTATCATTACTCAATGATGAGTAGGATTAGAAATTGTTAGAAAAAATTTCTAGTAAGAGTAAAAAAATTTTCAAAATTGTATACCCAAATAAGTAATTATTATTCTAAGAATACTTTTAGTAAATAATTAATCAAATACAAGATATATAATAGGAAGGAAAAAAGTTTAGAGGAATTAAGTAAGAAATTTGTACGTTGTCTAATTGATTATGATGAGAAAATTATTTGTTTGGATTAAATCACTGAAGAGTTGGGTACTGTATTATACAAATATAGGTGTTGAAAGAAGAAGAATATATGATATAATTAATATACTTGAAAGCTTATAAGTAGTAAAAAGAAAATGTAAAAATTAATATAGTTGGAGTGGATTCAAAACTATTTATTAAACAATAGAACAAGTATTTTATTATATATATATAATAGTATGCAAATAAATAACTAAATTTTGACATAACCTCACATAAAAGGGAGAAATCATTAGAAGTACTCTCAGCTGGCTTCATTAAACTATTTATGTAATAAAAATCAATTTGGACTTTGGAAGAAGCTGCTAAATATCTCGGAAATGAAGTTGATCAAAATAAATTGAAAACAAAAGTAAGAAGATTATATGATATTGCAAATGTGTTAAAATCTATTGGTTTAATTAAGAAAACTCATTTAGTATCATCCAAAAAACCTGCATTTTAATGGGTTGGTAAAGAAGGATTAAAAGTATTTTAATATAATTTAAAATAACATGAATCAAAAAACTAAATTTAAGAAAATAAGGAGAATATAGTTAATATACCTACTCCTTAAGTCTAAAATCAAAATAAACCAGATAGTTTTAATTCTTACAATTAATATGTTGGTAAATGTATTGATCTGTTAATATAACAATAATTAAATGATAGAAAATAATAAACTGAATAAAAAATTAAAGAATAGAATTAAAATCAAGTTTCAATTATAACTCCAAAACTAAGAAAAACATACACTATTATTGTAAAATATAAAGTCTAATTTAGCCTCCTAGAGTAACAACTCCTAAAAAGGCTTTGTCAATCACTCCAAAAAAAAACCAATCAAATAATCATACTCCTAATAACAATAAAACTGTAGTTGGTTCTCTTATTGGGAAGTTTAATTAAAACATATGATTCTTTTTAGAGATCTATATTTTTCATTAAATTATTTATCATAATACTCTTCTCTGTCTTTTCTAATGAGAAGAGATCTTAGTACTTAATAAAGTTAGTAAACTGTTGAAAACATTCCATCGTTAGGAACTACGTAATGAAATTTACATATTTAGATTTCGGTTTGAGCAGGCTAATTAAATTATTAGCTCTGTATTGCTGTCCAATTCTATTTATGCAATAGCAGTCTTACTATTCAGTTTTCAATTGAGTTTTGATGGCAATATGCTATCTGTTATTTATTGTATCGATTCAAAATTGTTGTTACAATTGATACATTAGTTGTATTTTTATCGAATATTTCTACATTTTAACATGTATGACACTCTTTATTAATAAATTAGAACAGATAAACATACTTTACTAAGATTAATATCAACATTAGTTGAAGGTTCTTATTTACTTGTACTTAATTTATATTAGATATCTGGTACAAGAGATTTACTATTACTTTCAAACATCTTTCCATTATTAAATGTATTTCTTTCTGTGATTTTAAAATTAAATGAAGGAAATTAGTACTTTAAGCAATCAATATCATAAATCAATATGTTTCATGTTTTTAGAAATATTGTCTTATTGATAATCTCATTATTTTTAAGCTTAAAACTTGAAGGATACTTCGATATACAATGGTTATACGCATTATGGATGTTTTGGATTCTTTTTGGGATTTCTGCATCAATAGTGATTTATTACGTTTTTGTAGTTTTGGCATTAGGAATACAAAGAATTTTAGAATAAAATAGTAGACTTAAAAATTTAGGTTTAAGATTTATCTATATTATTAGTTATAATAAATTTCTGGATATTATTCTTTATGATATCAAATACATCTATACTTCTTTTAATTCCAATATCAATATTAAATTTTCATAATTTAGGAAATTATGGAAATATTATTGAAACAACAAGGATTATTTTAATTATTAACTAAGTCATCTTTTCTTATTTTACTGCTAGATTTAAACCTGAATTAGTATTCAGTTTATAAACTTATTTATCCTTAAATGATTCGGTAAATCCCCTTAACACTCTACCTACTTAATAAGGAGAGGCATAACTCTAATAATTTAATAAATAAGACTTTGTAGAGAGCCGAGTATCAGAACCTCATATGTAAATTCCTAAAGTTGTAAAGAGAATATCAAAAACTTATTTTGGATTTGACGATCTTCCTTCTGATAAAAAATCTGAAACTTAACTCTCTGGTAAGAAACCAACCCACCATAAAGCATTATCATCATAAATATAAAGATGTTCAGATGATCAAAATGAAAAAATTAAATTGTCATCCTTAATTAATATAAAGTTAAGTGAAAGACAAAAGAGCATTATAGATATCGAAAATAATTCATAAGAAATTGAATAAGTACTTTCTATAATCTATTATTTCTTTAATAGGTTAAAGTGCCAAGATCAGTATCTTTATCCTCTATAAATTCTTGTTGCATTTGTTTCGATAATGAGCCAAATGCATTATTTATGTAATGTGGTCATGGAGGAGTCTGTTATAATTGTGCCATAGATTTGTGGAAAAATAAAGAGGAATGTTATTTATGTAGAAATGTAAATTTTACTAATTATTTTAGAAAATTGATAGAGTCTTGTAAATTAAAATGATTTAATAATAAAAAAATATTTATCAAGTAGTTGCTGCTACTGAATTGAATTAGAAACTTAAATTAGAGTAAAAAATCTTAATATAGAACTAATAATAATGAGTTACTGACTTAAATATAAAGAATTTAACCAAATGTTCTTTCTATATTATTATTTTACTAATTTATCTATTTCAATTTATATGAATCAAACTTTTGAATTCTAATAAGCTAATCTTTCTGATTTATAAATTAAATGTTATTTTTCTCTCTTCTTATATTTTAATATTTTACATAATTTGTGATTATATCTATTACTTATTACTGAAATCTTTAGATATATATTGTAATTCATTTATAAAATTTCCAATTTTAAGTACAAATTAATAATTCAATATTTAGATCCAATACATTATTTTATCTTATCTCCTTCCTTTTCATTTATATACTTTTACATGATTTTGATTATCTTTATTTATTTCTAATCTTTAAATTTGTTTTAGTAAATTTTGAAAATCTTCCTTTAACTTTCAGTAATTGAAATTTCATGCAATCTAATCTTATGAACAATTATCTTCTTTATTAATAGTTCAATATTTTTTAACGAAAATATGATAAATTTATAACTATCCTTCTGAAATTATGAGGATTTCATAAAATGATATTTTAAACCTTTTAGAAAAATGATGATAATTATAATTTATATATATTATTTGTATTTTTTTTAATTAATTTTATAAGGGTTTGTGATCTTATTTTTCTAAATTATATTAATATTTACTTAATACTTCTTATATCTAAGTCTTAAGAATAATAATAATAAAATTATATAATATATTTAAATAAGAAGATTATTATTATTTAATATATATATATAAAAATAAATAGTATCAAGATTTTAATGTTTCTTTTCTACTAGAAATAGCATATAATTCTTCTGGAAAAACAGCATATCTATGATAATTGGATAATCTTGAATTTATTGTTTACTTTTTGGTACATTTTGGTTCTATTTTAGGGAAGACTATTGATACATCTTAATAATCTTCCCTCCTAGTAATAGATTAACTTTTTATTGTCTATTATACGCTTCCTTTTTTTTATGATTTTTCTAATGTTTTATTCCTAGAAATTTTTATCTCTCTTCTCATTATCTTTTATTCTTATCTTTGTAGTAAACTTGTGAAATTTTGAAATTCTCTTATAAAATTCATTTCATTTATATTCTTCTATTTTATTTTTGTGATTTTCTCTTTATTTTCAATTAAAGTTATATCTTATTATTATTATTTAAGTTAAGAATATTCAATATGCTCATTTATATCTTCAAGTTGAAATTACTATTTTTTTGATTAAATGACACTATAATTTTAAGAATCATTTTATTCTTTAATTTTAGAATTATTTAAACTATTATTTTGAGTTCTAAATCTGCTAGTCATTACAAATTCTTAATTAGATTATTCTGTTCTTCTTTTAAATTTAGGTTATTGAAATTTGATATCTTAATTTTCTAGACACATAATTGAAAATTTTACAGGTAATTAAGTTGATTTACTACTACCATCAATTATACCAGATTAAGGAGATATATCAATAGATTTTTATTGTATAAAATTTTATATAAATGACTTATAATCTTGTTAAATATCACCAAATGATGAATTAACCTATTATATATGAGAACTTTCTTATAAGCTATTCTAATTTAATTGTATTGAAACTTAATTTCTTAAATACTTTTATTAAGATATTAATTCTGGACACATCCAAATAAAATTTTCTATTATACGAAATTTTTGATTAAAAAATTATAGTTGAATAGTTTACTTATCAAATTTAAATTTCTATGCTTATTAATTATTTAAGCATAAAATTACTTAATTTTATTTTCCTTTATATAATTATGAAGTCTCTAATATAGGTATTTTTATTTTATAAACATTCTAGATTTTCTAATAGTATTTATTTAAAAATATAGTTTGTTATTAATGAGTACTTTCCCAAATATTATCACCAAGCATAAGAATACTTGTTCCATTAAATTTAAATCTATAAGTAATCAAAGCCAATGCAATAATCCTGTATTTGGCTTCACTAGTTGAAATATATGTGAATTTAATATAATCTCTATTGTTGATATAATCAAAAGATATTGAAGCTCCAAAATGTAGTAATCCATAAAGATCAACTGGTTTTTCATATTTGAGTTTTTTTAAAGATTCTTTGCTCTTACTTAAGTATTCTCTGTTTCTACAATTCCATTTTGTTGATATTTATTCTTATTTAATAATACTATAATCGATAAGTTTTTCTTCATTTATGTATACCATTTAGATTTCTTTGATAAGCCAATTAGGAAAAATTGGAACATTTAAGTGATTGAATAGATTTAAAGATTGTACATAAGTTGATTAAACTTAATCCTCAAAATTATTAGATTTAAATTAAAGTCTTACAGTTTCATTATCTGCCACAATCTTAAAATTATTATAGCTATACCATATTGTATTATTCTAAAAACTTTAAAGAATTTTATTAATTATTAACAATAGCTTAAATTTTTGAATAAGTTTCCATATCAAGATAAAGATTTGGCGTTGGAATTTATGATACATAAAATGAAATTTCTTTAAAGAAATTGTTTCTATGATTCCATCTGATCCTTCTAAACCATCTTTAAATGACATAAACAGCCCTAGATTGATTAATCAATTTCATGATAACTTGATATTTCATACCTTTCTAAGAAATGTTTTTCTTTGCTCTAAAATACTTTTAGATTCGACATACAGCAGCAATCTCTCTCAATTAAAAATCAAAAAAGATATGAAGTTATCCATTTCTATTTTAACTATTATATTAATAGATCTTCTTCAAAATATTTAAATTATCTAATTCTATATATTTTAATAGATTATATTCTTCTAATTAAAATTTATCTAATTTTTAGAGTAAATTCTTATGTCTCATAAGTTCCTAATTAGTTAATTCAAATTATTTTTTTGATAATTTAACTTTAACATATTTAATAAAATTATAAAGAAATTCATACTTTATTACGTCTTTATCAATATTAGTTTCTCCAAAAGTTTTTTTTAATTAGTGAAAATTAAAAAGGATAACCGCAGATTTAATATTATGAAAAAGTAAAGGTATAAGATTTTTATGTGAACAACTATTTTAAATGTGTAATCTAATGGTTTTGATATTTACTTCTTTTGCTTGTAAATTAAAGGTTTTTTAAAATATTTACTCTTACGATTTTTAAATATAAAATCGCTTAACTTTATTTTAATTCAAAAATTATCTAAGATGCTTGACTTTCCATAAATTTATTTTCAAAGCTTTGTAAATTAAATTAGATGCGTTGTTGATAATGTATTATTAAAACCTTCGTTTTTTTAATTCCTTATATGAATTAAGAACTCTTATATAACTTTATTTGTATTATGCGATGAGAATGCTTCTAACTTCCTTTCGCTTATCCACAAAGCTTCGCCAATGATTAACAACTTTCTGTGCCAATTAAATATTCATAAAATTACAAAAAATATCAATCATTCATAGTTTAATTTAACTTTTTGTTTGTGATAATAGTTTGTCCAAGCACCTCCATTATTTGAATAATAATCCATAGGATAGATCTATTTCCAATCAGCTTCTCCTAACATAACATAAGTTTCATAAGGGGTTAATAATGGTTTATTAAATTATACTCCCCAATCAATTGATAGTCTTGGACAAGCAATTTATATAAATATATCTACTTCATTCAATTAATTTAGTTATTCAAAATTGATTTCACTTATCAATAAAGTAAAATATTGAATCTAATGTTTTTTCAACAATTCTTCAATTCTCTACAAAATCTAAGTACTTCCCTATCTTCCAAGTGTACTCATTATTATACATACTAATTAAGGTTATATTTTTTAGCAATGCACAATTTATTAATATCTTAAATTCATCATTTTTGGATTGTCATACTTTTCAATAGTAAGTCTGTAAGTGTATGGATCATATTAGAAGAATTCAAATTATGGATTTTGTATCATAGTTGATTCCATATGAAATCTTCCATCACATACAAAAATGACTATATTTCTAGTCTCTTATGATACTTCTAACTTAGGGGAAGTACATCCCAATACTTCTCCTGATGATCTAGGTTTTTCTTGAGGAATTGTAATTTTATAACCATCCTCTTCTAATTATTTCTTGAGTAAATGTATATAAGTATTAAATTATATTGTACCCATCAAATAATACTTTATATTTTTATCAGAGAAATTCTTTTTAATTGTTTCAAATAAATGTGTTGTATCAATATTAATTTCAACAAAAACATACAAGGTTTTAACTGTGCATTCATTAATTGGAACCAAACAACTATGACCATAATGAATTATGTAATCAGCTTGCATTTCATTTGCTGTCAAATCATCAATACAACATGCACCATATGTTACATCTCCACTGATAAAGGTTTCACAACCAGTAAAGGTTGTTAGAATATCTGATATCATACAAGAATATAATAATAATCCTTCTGGAAATTATAAATTGATTAAGATGTTTTGTCTTTATAGTCTCTCTTAAGTTTCAATAATTCTGCTTATTGTTTTATGAATTTCAAAATTATAATGTTTGGGTAACTAATTTATTGCATTATTCAATGCTTAATTATTTAGAATGTATTCTGGTATTTGATTTAAGAGTTTAGGTTTATTCTACACATTTTAAATCATTAATAAATATTTTAATATACCCAGAAAAATATGAATTAAATGACTGTTCACTATTCTAATACATTTAATTTATCTTAATATTTATAATGATATTTCATTCCAATTTAGCATCATAAGTAAAATCTTAATATTTTTAACCAATGCTTTCACCTCCAATCGATAACGAATTTGGATCATGTGATTCCAATGGCTATTCAGTAAATTCTGGATCAAAGTTTGAAACATCTACTTCACTTTTCACTAATGGGATAAATGGTGGCTTATATAGTTTTTTCAATAAAGTTTCCCAATTTACATTTAAAAACCAAGGATGATCCTTAACTAAACAAATAAGAATTAAATTTACTTTCTTAAGCTCCCTTACTTCCCAATCTTTTATCTGGATTCTTAGAAAATAATCCTTCTAATAAGGATTTACATGCTGGTGTTAGACTTACTGGATATTTTAATTATGCAAATTTAATGCTTTCAAATAATTCTTCTCTATTTTAAGTATAAAATGGAGGAAATCCTGATAACATCTCATATATGATTGCTCCTAAAGTCCACCAATCAACTGGTTTACCATGACCAGATTTTAATAAAATTTCAGGAGCCAAATACTCAGGAGTACCACAAACACTTTAAGCATCTTTGGTTCCTTTTACATTACGTTTAGACAATCCAAAATCAGTAATTCTAATGTAACCTTATGCATCAATCAAAACATTTTCAGGTTTAAGATCTCTATAGATGATATCATGATTATGTAAGTGTTCAAGAGCTAAAACGATTTATGCAGCATAGAATCTTGCCTTAAATGATATTTAAATATTATACTTGATCTTCTGTAAATACTTTACGTTTTTATAATAAATTAAATAACTCTCCTCCTGAACAATATTCAAGAACAAAGTATAATTTTACATCACTTTTAAAAGCATAAAACATTTTTATGATAAATGGATGCTTTACTTCAACTAGAATGTTTCTTTCTCCTAAGACATGGTCTTCTTGTTTTCTTTTTTCAATATTTTTTTTCTTTAAAATCTTCATAGCATAAATTTCCTTATTATCCTAATTTTAAGGAATTAAGTCATACATTCTTTTTCACTAATACTACTTTAGCATAAGACCCTTTTCCAATCACTTTTAGGAGTGTAAAATGATCGATTGTTAATTTCTCCATTTATTTATAATATTTGTAATGAGTATTTCAAGATATGTATATATAATCTAAAATTTCTTAACATCGGTATTAATTATTTTTAAATTAATATGGATTCAATTTTTGGCTTATAAGGAGGTGATTTTGTGATTGTTGCATGTGATGGTAGCATTGCTCATAGCATTCTAAAAATAAAGGAAACTGAAGACAAAATTCTTAAGCTTGATGATCATAAGATTTTTGGTATTTCAGGTGAAGGAGCTGACAGAAATTCTTTTGGTGAATTAGTACATAAGAATCATTCTCTTATAAGATATAAAACAGGAGCATATATGAATCTAAAAGAAACTGCTCATTTTGTTAGGTATTGTAATTAATAAATCAATAAGATCCATGTATGCTTAAGCCATCAGATCAAGAGATGGCCCTCATTAATGTAATGGATTATTAGGAGGAGTAGATTCAGATGGTACACCTTCTCTTTATTGGCTTGATTATTTGGGATCCCTATAAAAGATTACAAGAGGAGCATAAGGATATGCAAATTATTTCCTATTAGGTTTGTTGGATAACTAATATAAACCTGTATTTAATTGATTATTATAATAAGAATTTAACAAAAGAAGAAGGAATTGAAATAATAAAGAAATGCATTAAAGAATTATAAACCAGATTTTTGATTGCTTAAAATAAATTCATCGTTAAGATTGTTACCAAATAAGGAATTGAAACATTCACATTATGAACATAATTACAATTATAAAATGTTATTTGTTAATAATTAATATCTATTCTAATGTAAAAATCATTGAATATATTAAAATTTAATTGTATTAATGATTTATATAATTTCAGATACTAAAAGATCATGAGATAAAAATTAATCTTAAAATTCTTTTAATAAGAATAGAAAACCAGAACTAGTAATTCAGAATAAATTAGTAATATTATTTGTTTAATTTTTAAAATATAATTTAAAATAGACATAATAAGCAAAATAATAAATACTTTATACATTTATTCCAGAAAATTGAATTGATTTTTAATAATAAGGATATTATTTACTCTAATATGTTTTGTGATGTATTATATGAATATGATTTATTTAAATGGTCAAGAGTTTTAACCCAATAATTCTTGGAGTCTTTATTTTCTTTACTCGAGTTAAGAAGTCTCTTCTCTGATCTTCCTAACTTCTTCTTCCAAGAGTTCTCTTGTGATATGTGTCTGTAGGAATTGTTCACCTCTACTTTAATTAAGGAGATTGTTGTGTCCATACAAAATGATTAAACCCTATAGATTATTGTTATTATTCATACAAGTGCTCCAGCTAATATAAAAATCAATTCATAAAGTGGTAATTCAACATTATTTTATTATGTAAGGGGCTTGAAGATATAAATAAAAATTTACATCATCCATAACTAAATAACCATGAGGTAAATTTGCCAAAGGATCAGTTTCATCTGCATGGAAATATGGGTCAGACCAATAGAATCTCTCAAAACTAATAATATGAATAATATATAAAACCTGAAAAAGGGAGCATCTACTAGATGTTGATATGGGTTTGTATTATCATGGTGAGGATGATCATGAAGATCAGTGAAGCCAGTAATGCCAATTAATTTACCACTCTCATTTGAAATCCAATTTTAAACTGTGTTTAATTTAACATGGTGATGGCCATGTCCACCTGATCCAAATCTAAATAAACTCAAAATTCTTTTCATAATTTTATTATTATAGATAATAATAATAATTAATATTAATAGATTATTATAAGTATCAACAACAATTATTTCCATTAGGAGTATCTATTGTTTTCAACTAAACAGCTTCTTCATAAGTGTTTATTACTTTTATTTCTTTATCCTTTTTTTTATACTATCCACCAATTTTAATACCTGGCTACAATAAAATAAGATCATTTACATCTTATCCAAGTAATATTTTTTAATCATCTATTTCTTACAAGATCCTTTATGTAGATTAATAAAATGCTGATTAAACATTTATACCCTACTTAGCTGATATCTCAAGAAATATCAATGATTATGATTAGGCATATTACCATCCTTCTTCATATGTTACTGCTCGTCTCTACATAAAATCTATGTTAATTACTCAGATTCCAAATCAATCTTATTACCACATAGTACAATTACCATATTGGCATTCCCATTATTTTTTATTTCTTCCATCCATCTTTGTAGATTATGAAATGAATTTCTATTAGTAATATCATAAACTAGTAGTGCACCTACAAATATAATTTTCCAGTACCAATAGCTGATCTATAATAACTACGAATAATAGATCTAAAGTTCTCTTAACCAGCAGTATCCCATATTTACAATTTGATATTCATTCCATTTACTTTAATGATTTTAGCTCCAAATTCAACACCGATAGTTGCATCATGTTATTCTCTAATTTCATTTTCAATCAATTACAAAAGGATACTTGACTTTCCTACTCCTAATCATTATTTAGTTATTAAACCTGTATCCCCTATGATTATATACTTAAACATCAGACTGTAATTAGACATCTTTTTGTATTTAAATTATAATTTTATAAACAATCACATTTTTTTTTTATTCTTATTTACAAATTTTCCATTATAGAATCTCTTCTAAAACTGTTCCACCAATCACATTATTTTAAAAATGAAACTTTAATAATTCTTAATTTATCCTTTTCCTACTCCCCAATTATTCAAACAAAAACTTTCTTTTCAATTCTATATTTTGATCTAACTCTCCCAATATTTATTATACAATTAACATTTTATTTGTGAATTTTCAATTCAGCTATTGTTTGTCTCTCTTCTCCCAAGATTAAGCTGTATTTATAATCTTTATTGAACCATCACAATAATTAATATTTTTATTTTCTTATTTCCACTTAAAATTGTACAATATTGCTAAATGGTCTAAAATAACCATATTTCTAATTCATTTTACCCTTTAACATAACAAATTTCTTCTAATTACACTATCCTCCTCTACATTTACAATCATAGATTAAGTCTATTATAATACTTATAGATATAAAATAGGTTTTGTATGACCATTTAACATATTCTTGTTGATATTTCACAAATCTTAATTTTTGTGTTATAACTACCGAATATAATATGTTTATCCTGTTAGAGTAATCCTATTGCTTTGTGTAACTTTGCTGTCTTCTTCTCAAAAAGTTTTTTCTTTTGACTTCAAATTGAAAATTACTATTGTTTTGTCATCACCAGAGAATGTTATTATATAAGGATAATTTCTCAATAATATCCATATAAATAATTATCTTGAGTATGAATATAAGTATATTAGTGTTGGAGATTATATTTACAACAATTTAATTGGCAATTTTTGTCTTTTTTATCATCCAATTATAAGTAAAACATTTTTCCCCTATAATCCAAATTATACTCTTATAAATAGTCATTTTATAACAAAACTCTTAAAATTTTCTAATCAGTTTATCCAAAATATCTATATCTAATATTTGTTATTCAATCTTCACTATTTAATTACATTTTTAAATTCCAAATTCCAGACACATATTAGTTGATTATTAAGCACTAAAAAAAATAAATCAATATCTTAGGAAATACCTTTTAATTTCATTATCTGAATTTTTCAGTTTAGATAAATTAAGATATATAAAGTGTATTATATCATCTATAAAACCGAAGAAATAAATTAATCAATATTACAAAAATTAATACTAACTTATTATTCCATCTTTTCATGAAAGATTTATTACTAATTCCAAAATGATATTTTATTTAATTTTTAATTATGAGAATAATTTTAGAGTTTTATAATAATATCTAATAACTTATTGAAAAAAGGAATATCTAATACTTGCATTCCTACTGCAATATGATTATCTGTTTACTTTAAAATTTCAATTTATAATAGAACTATTATGTTAATGATCTCACTATTTTATGTTTAATAATTCCCTTGAAAAAACAAAAAGATTAATTTGATATTTGCAAATTCTAGGATTCTAAAGTAATTCAATATTTCTATAGCAAAGTATATTGGTTTTTTTGCATCATGTTTTCTCTTTTAAGACTTTTGAATTTTTAATTAATAAGTACATAAAATTAATTTAATTAAGCTTCATATTTTTAATCTAGTCTATTAATGGATATATTAATTATATACATTTTAGAAGTAACTTGTAAACTAAATTCAATTTTGAAACCAAATAATAATTTAACAACTTTGTTTAACTACAATTACTTCCTTTTCAGTCAAGTCTTAAATTTCAACTTCAATCTTTTGTTAAGTATTATTCATTATAACTTATTCATAAACTAATTTAGACTATCCTTTAGCCAAGTCACTATAAATTCAAATGAAAAGTGAAATAAATGGAAATGTGAGTGTAAAATAATAGGAAATCATAAAACGATTATTTGTCAAATAGGATACTGTTAGAGAGGGCTTATAATATAATTTAATACTGAGACTCATAATTATAAAATATATTTAATAATTAGTTGGAAATAGAGAATTAGAGTTAGTATGTTGTAAATTATATAAAGATATAGTATTGTATATTTATCGAAATATAAAAATAATAAAAGGTTCAGGAAATATAAATTAAATTTAATTAATTTGTGGTTGAATGTCTATTACAGTTGAAGATTTGGCAGCTAATATCGAGACAGTCTTAGCCTCTTTGGGTGATGAAAAAATGTATACTTGTCTTCATCTTGTAGGGTCAACTGGGAAGTGGTTGAGTAAACTGAACATAACCTAATGAAACATTTTGATTAACTATTTGAGAGATTATATACACTCAAAGATTCATTATAAAGAGTATTCTTAATAAACATCAAAAATTTGAGATAATATGATGCAAAGGATTTAGTCTAAAAAGTTAAAGATAAAAAACTAGAACCTGTTGTTTTAAAATCATTAACTCAATATGCCTTTAAAAATGATAAGGATGAATTATTACTTAATCCTTCACTCATTAAAGGATAGGTTAACAGTATTGTTTTACCATGGGTTGGAAATAATTTATCAGTAACTGATAAAATTAAAGAAACTAATGAATGGCTTGATTAAAAATTAGCTGAATTAGAAGTCTTCAAACCTAAAGAATCTTAAGAAACTCCTAAAATCTAAGATTTATAACCAAAAAATGAGGGAAATGATAAAAGTATCATAATTTATTCTAATCATAAGACAATTACACATTCAAAAGTGACAAATTAAATGAAATTGCTTCATAAATTTAAACTATGCATATTCCAAATACAAATAATATGATTAGCATTAAGACATACACTTAAATAGTTGAAGGTAGTGTTGAGTTGGCTGAACCTGAATTTATAAGAATTACTTTGGAAAACAGAAAGGCTAGAAGAGAAGTTCTTTATTCTGATGGAGCTAAATATGTTTAATTATTATTGGATTATGTTAATGACATTGAAAATCTTCTAATGAAGGCATAAGAAGAAATATGCAAGAAAATTGATATTTCATAATAAACACTTGAATAAAGTGAAATGTTATTAATGGAAAGAGGACTTGGATAACATGTATTTATGTTACAAGCATCAGCAAGATAAAGAATCAAGGATAAGCTACCAAAATAGAAATAGGTTTAAATGAATGCTACAAAAGAAATTATTAGATATTAAATCAAATTACTAAATGAGAAATAAGATTTCTTAAAAAATATGATTGATAAATTGCCTACAACATATGAATCAGGATAATTAGTTCCTATGGTATTAAATTTAGTTATGGGAGATATGATATTTGAAGAACATAGCTATGAAGAAGAAGATTATATTTCTAATCTTGAAAATCCATGTAAAATAGTTTAAATATTTTAGAATTATTCTAAGATCCAGATATGATGGAATTACTAAAATCAATTGAAACTGGAGTTGTTTAATTATTAGGAAAAACAGCATTCGCATAACCTTAAGGTGGTATGATGGGTAACATTCCTCCACAAATGTTATAGAAATAATAATAATAATGATAAATGTATATTTTACATATCACAAATAAATAAATTTATAAATATTGTCTTAAATTTGTTAATTTAGTAATATAAAATAAATTCAAACAAAATAAACGTAATAATTATATTTCAAAATTGTTTGAATGAATTAATCTAATATGACTAGCAATTAACTTACAAATGGTGTTTTAGATAAATCTAAACCTCTTTGCAATTAAAAATTACTTAAAGAGAAAATAAATGAATTATAAAATACTATTCTAAGAACAGAAAAAGAATATAGTTAATTAAATCAAGGAAGTAATAAAACTAATACATTCAGTAAACCAAAATAATCAATAAATTCTTTTGATAAGCTATAAAATTAAAAAGATTTATAGATTGAAAACTTGATTGTTGAAAATCAAAAACTTGTTAAAACCATTTAAAAATTAGAAACTAAAGTCAAGAATACAGTTTAATTATAAAATGAAAATTAAATCCTTAAACATAATTGTTAAGACCTAAAATCAGAAATTGAGTTATAAACATAAAAAAAAACGTTAAAAAACGATACTAATTTATCTTCTGATGCAGCTTTAGGATTTTTAGCAGCAAAAAGAAGTTAAGAAATTTAAATATTATCTAACGAAGTCAAAGAAATAAAATAGAAGAATTAAAACCTATAAGAAAAATTAGATAAACTAATATTAGAGAATTAACATTTATAGTCTATTATAAAAAATTCAGAGAATTAATAATTTAGATCTGATTCACAGAATAATTCAATTAAAAAAAATAATTTTGTTGAAAAGTTGTCTAATTAAAATTAAACTAAATAAAATGAACAAATATTTTTACTCTAGTAAGAACTAGAAGATGCAAAAAAAACAATAATGTAATTACAAAAATTGAATAAAACAAACCAATATACTTAATCATCTTATAATTATAAATTTAGTAATTCTAATGAGAAGATATCAAAAAGTTAATCATTAGAACCATCTCAATTTGATTAAGATAAAAGGATGAAAGAATTAGAATAAAAGATAAAAAAACTGGAATTTGAAAAGGATAATCAAATTTATAATACAAAATTAGAATGTGCTTAAGATTTGAAATTATTTTAAGAAAAATTAAAATAGGAATACAATTAAAAATAATAATTTGAAAATGATAATGATAAACCTACTTAAGATAAAATTAAGAAATTAATGGCTGAAAACAATAAATTTCAAATAATGCTTGAAAGATAGAATAAAGAAATTATGAATATGGAGAAAAAATTGACAGGTATTTATATTAAATATATTATTCTGTAGAATTATTGATTTAATAAGAAGAATTATAAAAAAATTTATAAAAAGAACAATAATTTTAAAGTTATCTTAAATAAGAAAAGCTTATGTTATAAAATTAATTAAAAGAAAAAGATATAGAAATCAATGATTATAAAGATGATATCATAAAATTATCAAAAGAGAGACAATAATTAAAAGATTAAATAGAGAAACTAAAATTTGAAGTCAAAATGAATTAAAATAAAAGTAGTAATAAACCTTAAAGTCATTAAAGTGAAACGAGTAAAAAAAAAAGATGATTATAATAATCTAATATTAGTTTATTATTTAGATCATATATATATATATATATAATTCTAGATAGATCTCTACTAAATTTTGGATGAAAGTTTATAATTTGTTAATTTGATTAATTTTATAATGAGAATATTAATTGTAAATGGATATGGAAAATCAGAAACTGGTAAACAATAATTTGAAAGATATTGTGGATAAATAAGAAAAGTATACTTCTAAAATATAGTATAGTTATTTTTGAATTAAAAAGAATTACTGGACACAGAAACAGAATTTTTTTCTAGAGATGCAAATGATTTAGATGAATTCCTTTATGATTAAGACTCTGGCTATTCTAAATAAGAAGCAGCAAATTAATTTAATTTTATAGATTTTGTTTTTATAGAAATAGATGCCAATCTTAGACCATGGTCAAAACATTTAAAGAAAGTAAAAACATTAATAATATATTAGGTTATGGTGCTAATTAGAATGTGCTTAAGAACTAATAAAGTTTTATTAGCTACTGCTGGAGCCATGCAAGCCTTGGTGTTTTTTGTGGCTACTAACTTAGAAACTGTAAGAATTAATTATAATATTGTTAGCCAGTTGAAGTAGTAAATGGTCCATAAGGTGGTCCTCTTGGTGATATGAGTAAACTTTAAAAATCACTTGATTAAATGACAAAGAATGAATATTTTTTGGATAGCATAACAGGAGATCTCTATGGAATCTACTTTGATAAAATTGAATCAGCAAATTGTTGGATTCCAATAGCCAATTGTGGAATACATTCTAGAAGAGCTGTTGAAGAATTTAATACAGTTGGAAAGTATATGTTATAGGCTCCAGTTTATAAACCTTAAAAAATAAAAGAGATTTATGGACTTTATACATCTACATAGGATGAGGAAATATGCATGATTAAAAAGAACTTTGTCTAACATTATTTATTTAAAGATATAATGTAAGAGTTCTTAGTTCATTCTAAACATGCATGGGATATAC